GAGGGGGGTCTGAATTGAGGGGGCCAGTCTTTTTGAGCCGTGGGGCCCAAGACGGCCCCAAGAGGCCACCCAAATCTCCCAAAGAGCCCCAAGAGGGCCTCAAGAGTACCCCAAGAGGACCCCAAGAGAGCCCCAAAACGGCTCCAAGAATCTTCGAAGAACCTCTCATAGCAACAACTCAACTCGCCTGGGCATCGTTTCTTGATGGGCTGGTGGGGATACGCCGGGCGCCTGGGCCCTCCCTGGCGTGCGGGGCGCGCCAGGGGAGGCGCCAGAGGCGCCGCCAGAGTGTCCCGGCGCCGATCCGAGGAAGCCGCGCGGACCTCCCAGTTGATATGCTTCTGTCGTTGCCTGTTCCCCGAGATGAGCACGAGGCCACACGCGCGCACGGGCGCGCCCATGGCTGGTCGTGGCTGCAACTGCACGGCAGGTTCGGGTCGTGCCGACTTCCGCGTATTGGCCTCTGACACCGCAGGCATCGTTCAATCTCGAACGATCGGCCGGGTCCGACTCGTCAGATCGCTCCACATCCACCGCGTCTGGGCCGCCAGCTGCGTTCCAGGCTGGACGCGCCCGTGGCGTGGCCGCCGCCGGTCGACACGACACGCGCGTACCGTACGCCGTGCTCCCCGAAGCCACGACGTCCGACAATCCTCTGGGGACGCGTGGCCCGAGGCCGGAGCTCCTTGCCCGCGGACCCGCCCGCGGACCCGCCGGCGCGCCTGCGGACGCTCCGCGCCCGCACGGAGGGATGCGGGAAGGCGGGGACGCTGGCACGGGAGCTCGGCCTCGCTCGGTGCCTGCCCGAACAGTGGCTGGGCTCCAGAGCCGCCCAAAGTGGCCCGGCGGAGACCCACGCATCGGCGCATCGCGTCCTCTCTGTTCGCCACCATCCTGTTGCGCTCTGACGCGTTGTTCTCGCATCCTCCTTCTCGTCCTCGTCGCCGCCGTGCGAGGCCATGACCCGTTCGGACGAGCCCATCGATCTCGGAAGTTGATTCGCACGGAGTGGGTATCTGACCACGTAATTGCACAGCGTATCGGACACAAGTGTCACCCCTTTCTACTATGAGGGCAGGGAGCGGCGTTGACTCGCCGCAGGCGTCTTCGATCCGCCGCCCCCTGTCAAATCATCGCAGGGGTGCCTGGACTGCTGGATCCTTTCGGTTTTGGTTTTGGATCTTTATCAAAAAGAACCCCCCCTGGGGCTTCGTCCCGTCCCGCCCGTCACCCGAAAAGGAGCACAGTTCTCCAATGTTTCGTTCAAGATGGCCCACGATGGCCTCCAAGACGGCCACGTTGTCCCAAGATGGCCTCCGAGATGGTCCAAGATGGCTTCCAAGTCCGCCCAAGATGGTCCAAGACGGCCTCCAAGACGGCCCAAGAGAGTCCATGATACCTCCACGTTCGCCCAAGAGGCCTCCAAGACGGCCCAAGACGGCCCATGACGACCCAAGAGGTCCCAAGAGGTCCTCAAGGAGGGCCCAAAGATGCCAAAATTAGTGATTTTCCCAAGGGTTTGAAGGATTTGGAGATTCGCTTCTTCTCGGCATTCCGACTCCGTTTTTTCGCTCAAGATGGCCCACGATGGCTTCCAAGACGGCCACGTTGGCCCAAGATGGCCTCCGAGCTGGTCCAAGATGGCTTCCAAGCCCGCCCAAGATGGTCCAAGACGGCCTCCAAGACGGCCCAAGAGAGTCCATGATACCTCCACGTTCGCCCAAGAGTCCTCCAAGACGGCCCAAGACGACCCAAGAGGTCCCAAGAGGTCTTCAAGGAGGGCCCGAAGAAGCCAGCATTATTGATTCCCCGTAGATTTTGAGATTCGCTTCTTCTCGGCATTCCGACGGCTCAAGACGGCCCCAGAGGCCCTCAAGATTGCCCCAATATCGCCCACGAGGCCTCCAAGATGGCCCCCATGACGGCCCAAGAGGCTTCCAAGACGCCCAAGATGGCCTCTATGACGGCCCTGGAGCACCCCAAGAGGGCCCCAAATCGGCCCAGAAAGGCCCCCCAAACGGCTTCCGACGGCGTCAGACGGGCCAGGAGCCCACCAACACGGCCGAAAATGGCCCAAAGATGGCCCAAGACGGCCCAAGAGGCCTCCAAGATGGCCTCCGGGAAGGCACGAAAATGCAAAATCATTGATTTCCCTTCGGTTTTCAAAAGATTTTGACATTTGCTTCGTTTCGGCCTTCCGACGGCCCGAGACGGCCCAAGAGCCCCCAAAGATCGTCCAAGGATCGCCCAAGAGGCCTCCAGGATGGCCCCAGAACGGCCCAAGAGGCCCCCAAGACGGCCCCAAGAGGCCCCCAAGACGGCCCAGGAGACTTTTAAGACGCACAAGATGGCCTCCCAGACGGCCCTGGAGCATTCCAAGAAGGCCCCAAGTCGGCTCAGAGAGGCACCCCAAACTGCTTTAGACGACGTCGGACAGGCCAGGGGCCCACCAAGACGGCCGAAGATGGCACTAAGGTGGCCCAGGACGGCCTAAGAGGCCTCCAAGAGGGCCTCCAGGAAGGCCCGAAAGGCCAAAATCATTGATTTCCCTTGGGTTTTGAAGGATTGTGGCATTTGCTTGTTTCTCGGCCTTCCGACGGCCCGAGACGGCCCAAGTGCCCCCAAAGATCGCCCAAGAGGCCCAAGACGGCCCCAAGAGGCCCCCAAGACAGCCGAAGAGGCCTCCAAGACGCTCAAGATGGCCTCCAAGACGGCCCAAGAGCCCTGCAGGACGTCCTCCAAGAAGGCCCGAAAGGGTCAACATGGCCTCCAGGCGGCCAAGATGGCCTTCAAGATGCCCACGTGTTCCCCGAAGGCTTTCCAAACCGATTCGTGGAACACATGGTCCGATAGTTTGGCAGGTCTGGCCTCAACGTTCGGCCACATAGGCGCTTGCACAAAGGCAGGGGGCGGCGTTGATTCGCCGTAGGCGTCTTCGATCCGCCGCTCCCTGTTGATTCATCACAGGGGTGCCTGGCGTGCTGAACCCTTTCGGTTTTGGTGTGGGTTCTTTTCCAAAAGAACTCCCCCTGTTGCTCCAGCGCGTCCTGCCGGGGCCCCGGGACGATCTTCAAGGAGCTCAATTCCCCCAAAAATCCTCCAAGACGGTCCAAGATGGCCTCCAAGATGGCCACGTTGGCCCAAGATGGCCTCGGAGATGGTCCAAGATGGCCTCCAAGTCCGCCAAAGATGGTCCAGGATGGTCTCCAAGACGGCCCAAGAGGGTCCAAGATACCTCCAAGTTCACCCAAGAAGCCTCCAAGACGGCCCAAGAGGTCTCAAAGGTCCTCCAGGAGGGCCCGAAGAGGCCAAAATCATTGATCTTCCTTGGTTTTTGAAGGATTTTGGCATTTGCCTCTTCTCGGCATTCCGGCGGCTCAAGACGGCCCAAGAGGCCGCCAAGTGCGCCCCAAGATCGCCCACGAGGCCTCCAAGAGGGCCCCATGACGACCCAAGAGGCCTCCAAGACGGCCCCAAGAGGGCCCCAAGAGGCCTCCAAGACGACCACGATAGCCTCCAAGACGGCGAACATGACTCGAAGAGGCCCCCAAGACGGTCCAAGATGCATCCAAAACGGCCTGAGATGGCCTCAGTACTGCCCAAGACGGCCCCAGAGGTGCCCAAGAGGCCTCCAAGACGGCCCCGAAGCGCCCCAGGAGGACCCCAAGCCGGTTCAGAGAGGCCCCCAAGACGGCTCCCGACGGCGTCAGACAGGCCAGGAACCCACCAAGACGGACAAATGGTACTAAGATGGCCCAGGACGGCCCAAGAGGCTTCCAAGAGGGCCTCCAGGAAGGCCCGAAAAGGCCAAAATCATTGATTTCCATTGATTTTGATGGATTGTGGCATTTGCTTGTTTCTCAGTCTTCCGACGGCCCGAGACGGCCCAAGTGCCCCCAAAGATCGCCCAAGAGGCCCAAGACGGCCCCAAGAGGCCCCCAAGACAGCCGAAGAGGCCTCCAAGACGCTCAAGATGGCCTCCAAGACGGCCCAAGAGCCCTCCAAGATGTCCTCCAAGAAGGCCCGACAGCGTCAAAATGGCCTCCAGACGGCCAAGATGACCTTCAAGATGCCCACGTGTTCCCCGAAGGCTTTCCAAACCGATTCGAGGAACACACGGTCCGACAGCTTGGCAGGTCTGGCCTCAACGCTCGGCCACAAAGGCGCTTCCAAAAAGGCAGGGGGCGGCGGCGATTCGCCGTAGGCGTCTTCGATCCGCCGCCCCCTGTCGATTCATCGCAAAGGTGCCTGCGTGCTGGACCATTTCGGTTTCGGTTTTGGTACTTTTTCCAGAAAGCACTCCCCCTGGGGCTTCGTCCCGCAGGCAACCGGGAAAGATTGCCCAGGATCTCAATTCCCCAATGTTTCGCTCAAGATGGCCCTAGATGGCCTCCAAGATGCCTCCAAGACGGCCAAGATGGCCTCCAAGACGGCCAAGATGGCCCCAAAATGCATCCAAGACGGCCCAAGATGCACCCAAGACGGCCCAAGATAGCCTCGAGATGGCCCAAGACGGCCCAGGAACCCCCTAAGAGGTCTCCAAGACAGCCAGGTCCTCCAGGAAGGCCCGCAGAAGCCAAAATCATTGATTTCCTCCCGGTTTTTGAAGGAAGGATTGTGGCATTTTCGACTTTTCGGCCTTCCGACGGCCCAAGAGGCCCCCAAGGTCGCACCAAGATCGCCCAAGAGGTCTCCAAGATGGCCCCATGACGGCCCAAGAGGTCGGTCCTTCATCCGGAGTCGTTTTCCCATAGTCCCAGGGCCCAGCGAGGGCCCCTGGAGGCCGAAGACGGGCACCAGCCTCCCGTCCCGAGCAGGGCTTAACCTAAACAGTGTTTTTCGTTTTCGTTGTGTTTTCGTTTTCCCTTGCTTTTGTCTCGAATCCGACTTCACTGCAAAACGAAGTCGAAATGAAAACGGCCCACGAAATCGCCGAAAACACCGTTTAGGTCCAGCCCTGGTCCCGAGTCTTCTTCCCGACGCGAACCTGTCTGGGGCTCCCCTGGGGGCCGAGCTCCTGCAGCCACTCCGTCGCCGCGGTGATGCTCGGCGTGCCCGCTTCGGCGCTCGCCTCTCTCCGGGCCGACGGCCGCCCCTCTCCCCTCACTGAGGGGGCAACGGCTCGGGGAGGAGGAGGGGATGAGGAGGAGGAGGAGGAGGAGGAGGAGGACGACGAGGAGGAGGAGGAGGAGGAGGACGACGAGGAGGAGGAGGAGGAGGAGTGGGAGGGGGAGGAGGAGGAGAAGAGGGAGGAGGGAGGAGGAGGAGGGAGGAGGAGGAGGAGGAGGAGGAGGGAGGAGGGAGGAGGGAGGAGGGAGGAGGAGGAGGAGGAGGAGGAGGAGGAGGAGGAGGAGGAGGGGATGAGGGGGTGCTGAGGGTTCCCTTGGCCCCAGACTCGGGGGGGGACGAGAGGGCAGGGCAGCCAAGAGCAGGGCAGAGTATCGGCTCGCGCAGCTGGTGCTCCTGGCACCTCCTGGCGCTGGGAGTCGCCCGCGTATCGAGGAATGGGCCCAGCGGCGGGGCCGATGTCGTGGCCCCCCCTGTCCCTGTCCTGCCCTCTCGTCCAGCCCGCGAGGTGCCCCCAGCTATCCGCATCATTCTGGAGCTCCTGAGGCCCTCTGGGCCTCGGGAAGGGTGCTCTGGAAGCCGTGGGGGACTCCTCTGAAAGCCTGGGGGCACCTTGGGCCGGGGGCACTTCCGGCAACACCCGAACGGTGGAGGTGGGGAGCAGGATCCGGGCGAGAAACATTGACTTAGAGTCGGCGGTACGGCGAAGGCATAGGGTAAGGAACAATTGGGAAAGGGATCCAGGTGCTGAGAACCGCTTGGAGCACCAGTTGGGGCTTGGCAATGGATATCACCGCCGCCATCATCGGATGCGGTGGGGCCCGAAACCGGCTGCATGTAGCAGATTTCGTAACCCCTCCCTTTCCCTATCCCCCCCCCCTTCGTCCGACCTGAAAGAGAGAGGAGTGCTCATTGTGGCATGGGGCATGTGCGCTGACGTGTGGCAGCCAGTGGGTGTGAACTACGAACGAAGGGGATGACATCCAAGCCACGAAAAGAGAGGGGTCTTACGTGAGATGGCACAGCGACCCTACGCAGTGGCTTACGCGAACCGCCAGCTCGGCACGCCACATTAGAAACGAGAGGGCTGACGCGCGGCCTTACGCGGGCAGCTTACGCGCAAATGACGGCGCAGACGACCCCGTTTCTTGCGTCGCTCATCTGGGGAAGCGTCATGGTTCCCAGCCGTGACACTCACACAACCGCACACGAAGAGACCCACGCACACATACACACACACACACACGCACACACACACGCATACACGAACACACGCACACACAAGTGCACGCACTCTCTCTCTCTCACACAAACACCCCACACACACCCACGCACGCACGCACGCACGCACGCACGCACGTACGCACGCACGTACGTACGCACACCCTGCCCCACACACTCCCCCCCCTTATCCCCCCCCATACACACAAGCACACACACACACACGCACACACAAAAAACATACACGCACAAACACACACACACACACATACACATACACACACATACACACACACACACACACGCCCGCGCGCACACACGCGCAAGCACGCACGCACGCACACACGCACGCGCACGTACGCACGCACGCGCACGCACACACGCGCAAGCACGCACGGACACATGCGCACGTACATACACACGCGCACGCACGCAGGCACGCACGCACACACGCGCACGCACACACACAGACACAGACACAGACACAGACACAGACACAGACACAGACACACACACACATACACACACACCTGGTCAAGACCACCATCGATTTAAAACATGCCTCTGGCGGCTGTTCGGGGCGATCGGGGCACCCCTGGAAAACTCTCGACGAGCACAGCTGCCGGCAAGCACCCCGAGGCGAGACAAGCCTCCAAGAAGCAACGGCAAATCCTTCGATGACGAAACACATCATGGACGCCCTTGGAAGCTTGGTGTTTGCAGCGCATCTCCTCGAGATGAGGAGACAGCGGACGGCGTAGGGTTGGATGCTCGCCATGGGGGCCTTCATGAGCCAATTGCCCCGCTCGTGCATCGCTGCTGCGTCGAACGTCCGTCGGTTCGAGTCGCGCTTGACGTGTCATCACCCCCCTCCCGGACGTCCCCAGGAGGAGGGCCCCCGGTGCGATCCTGCCCGGCCCGCAGGGAGGTTCGGAGTGGCGCCCCTCTCGCGGGCGGGACCCTCTGAAGGGGCCCTGGGACACACAAATAAATAGACAGAACTAACCAGATTCCCAATATTTTATCATACTTTCTGGGTTTTCGTCTCCCCACCCACTTCCCATATTTTCCCATATTTTCTAGGGGATCGACGATTAATTGTGTCTGTGCGTTTTTTGCCCTCCTGATTGTAGTCCGCGGACCCAATCGTCCCGACCCTCCCTCCAGGGGCAGTTTTTCGTCCTGGATCCGTTTCGATGGCCCAAGGGCCCAATGACAGCCGCCGGTGGCTGACTTGCGCAGTCCTGCACAGAGCTCGTTTAGGCTCTGGAGTCCTGCGCAGAGCAGCGTGCGCTCAAAGGGTGCCTGCTCCGGCACGATGTTCCTGATGCTGTGAAAAAGCTTCTAGATAGCTGTGCCTCTCGATCGCGGTCTTCATCTGTATTTTAGTCTTGTATCTATGGAGGAGAAACGCACGGACTGAAAAAAACAGATCGTCGGGGCCATCGCTCGGACGCCCATTCCCTGTGCATTTTTCGGTTTCGTGCGCGGTGTTTTCGCCAAATGATCAAGGATGCTCCTCGATGGTCCTCGCCGAATGAAAAATGCACACGTCCGAGCGATGCAGGGCGGGAGGGGGGAGGGGCGGCCTGGAAGGCCGACAGCATGCCCTCGGCGAGGGCGTCCTGCGGCGCCCGCTGCTCCGCGGCGCGCGCGGCGCCCTCGCGATCACCCCCCGGCCGTGGCAGCCTCCCTCGACGTCGCCTCGGCGACGGCCTGCCGAGGGCGGACTGTGTCACAGAATGCCTTGCTTCCTAGACTCAACGCTGGTGGACGTTAGACTGATCCGCCTCGAAATTATCCATATCCCTAAGATTGGCAAGCCAAACGGCGATGACAATCTTAGGGACGCGCACTCGGAAACCGAGGGAATCATATGGATCTGCAACGAGATGAGACGATGCAAATTATAGGGATAGGGAGATGTTCCAGGCTGGTAAAGCGCTGGTGGACATCAGACGCTCGTTCTGGGTACCTTCCTTCCTGGAGCCACTCCTTCCACTCATGTGCGGATTCTGCATCGATCGTCTGTCGACGTGTGCCGACCTCGATAGGGGAGGGAAAGGATCAGGGAGGGAGCATCGAGCTGGAACCGGCGATGCTTGGCCGACAGATCGGCGACGGACCCCTGACGTCGAAACCGCAAAGTTCCTGGGTGGGGTGGGCCATCGGGCAACTATCGTTGAGGAGGGGAAAAGCGCCCCTACCCAGGGTTACAAATGCGTGGTCAGTAAACCTTCTGAGAGCTCCCACAGGCCAGAGAGCCGCCAGGACGCCGCGCGGCACGCGCGATACGCAGGGTTTACACTGTCAGCCCACAGGAGGTTCAGCGCACAGCGCCTCATCAACTAGGGTTAAGTCGGGCCTGTCCTCCTACAGGGGAAATTTGGACGAAAAATAATACTGAAAAACAAATTGTCAAAACATACCCCCAAATGGAAAAAAATGCTGAAACAATCATCCCCAGACTATGTGTGAACTATTTTTGAATACTCCCCCTGTAGAGGGACAGGCCCGACTTAACCCTTTACATCGGCGCTGCATGAGCGATCTGGAAGCGATGCGTTCGCCGCGACAGGCATTGAGGTCGCGCAGCGCCCCGCGTGCCACCTGGGACAGTTCTCCGCCCAGGGTCGTCGTCGTCGTCGTCGTCGTCGTCGTCCTCGTGCCGTTGGTCGTCCTCGTCGCCGTCAATTTTCGTCGTCGCCGTCATTGTTCGTCGTCCTCGTCTTCGTCGTCGGTGATCGCCGGAGGTCTTTGGAAACATTCGAGGACCTCCAGAGGCCATGCTCGGGGGCCTCTCGGAGGTCCTCGAAGCCTCTGAGTTTGGAGGTGCTCCGAGTGAGGGGGAGAAGAGGGAGAAGGCGGGCCGCTTCCTTAAGCGGATGTTGAATGCGGAGGCTTGAGGTTGGTAGCGCATTGACAAGGGCTGACGCGCGAGTGGGGTATGACTGCCATTATGTCGCGTTTATGGGAGGCTTGGGACTGGGAATGTGACAAAAGGGCTGGGTGAGAGCACCCTTCCGAGCTGGCAATGTGTCTGCACTCGGTCGATAACAACGCTCTGAGCGGGGGGGCGCGGCCGTTGCCGAGGCAGTGCTGCTGGACGACACAAGAGCCACGGGAGGCACGGAAGACGACGAAGACGATGAACACGACAAGGACGACGACGACGACGACAAGGACGACAACGACGACGACGACGACAACGACGACGACGACGACGGCGGCGGCGGCGAGGGCGGACGGCCCACGGCGGACGACGGCGACGGCGCGCCCTGGGGCCCTCCCCTCCCCTTTCGATCGGCCACGATCCTCGATAGATCAACCCTCGATCGATGGGATCGGTCAGGAACGTCAAGAGGTACGATTATCGGGTCGGGGGGATGGGGTTGGGAAGATACGGGGCGCGACTGCGAAATAAACACACTCGTCATACACGATTCTTCGGATGATCTGATCGTCTCTCCCAACCTCATTCCCCCAACCCGATAAGTGTCTGGGAGAACCTGGCATCAGAAAACCCGGAGAGAAAACTCGATCGATCGATCAAGCCTCGACCGACAACGCTGACGGCGTCCACCGACGACCGACGACAACGATCGGGCGCGCCCAAATGGACGCCCCCAGGCCCTGGGCGTGTGCGCGGACCAGGGGGGAACCAGAGGACGTGTTGAAACGAGAAGAGGGGGCCACAACATCCACGGAGACACCAGTGGTCCCTGCCATGATACCCACACACCCCTGCTCCGCACCCCCGTCTTCGACGCCTGATGGCGCTCGGGACCTAGCTCGGGCCCCCGGGACGACCCGGGCACACCCGGGGGCCGAGGGTCCTGGCCGGCGCGCGAGAGGCGGTCGCCGGTGACCCGCACCCGCGGCGGCTGCAGCGGGTAGTCCTCCTCGACGGGGCGGGCGCGCGGGGGCTCCCAAACGGCCCGCTCCCAGCGAGGGAGGGAGGGGAGGGCGCGAGGAGCGCCAAGTGAGGGCGGGATAGGTCCTCACTCACTGGGATCTCCGACCGCTCGAGGCCCCCAGGTGAGCGACGAGCCCAGACGGGCCTCACGCGAGGTGGCACGGCGACCTCACGCCGCGGCTCACGCGGGCCACCAGCGCGGCAAGCCACAATGAGACGAGGGCGCCTGCGCGCGACCCTGCGCGGACAGCTCACGCGCCGGTGTCGGTGCCGACGACCCCGTTGCCCCGCTGCTTGGCGCCGCTCAGGTGCCACCGAACCTGTGAACGCCAGTGTGCCCGGCCGCAGCCCGCCGCCAGGCCGACGCGCCGCCACGCTGTGGTCCCGGGCCGGCGCCGGTGACGCGCGCCAGTGGCGCGTGCCGCGGGCCGTGCCCCTCCAGACGAGCGCGCTCCACTACTCGCAAAGTAGCTACTCGCAAATCGCCTGGATCCGCCGCGGGGGATCCACGATAAATGACACCGAAGCAGACATGTGTTCTTAGGACGTTTGCGAGTAGGCACTTTGCGGGTAGTGGAACGCGCTCGGAGAGCGTCCGTCTTCCCCCCGGCCTGGGCGCGGAGGCGGCCCGTGGCGTGCGGGCGCCCTCGCGACCTGCCCCGCGGGGTAGCAGCGCGGCCCGCAGAAACGGCGGCTGCCGCAGGGACAGTGGGCACTTCCGACAAGAAGGCTTGGTATGAGAGATCCGGGGCGGCACGTTCTTCGTGCCAAGGATTAAGTCGCGCGTGTCCCCCTACAGGGGGATTCTCAAGCAAATTCAACATACCCTCAAAATGCTCCAAAATGGCTCAAAAAATCCAAAAATGGTCCCCAGGCTATGCTTACATATATATATATATATGTATATATATATGTATATATATATGTATACATATGTATATATATAAAAAACAACTATGTTTGACTACTTTCCCAATTGAAGGACAGGCCCGACTTGAGCCAAGGAGCTCTTGGGGCACAGGCGACAACCCTTTGAGAGGATCCCAAAGGCTCCACAGCTTCAGGTGGGCCCCGCGGGCCATCGGGAGTGAAGACACTGCCGTGCCTGCTGTAACGTCAGGCCGTGGCTCATCAAAACGCCCAACGCTCGCGATATCACAGTACCAGTCGGACAACGCCCGGGGTCTCAGCGGCCGCAGCCGTGATGTAGAACGGGCAGGGCGCGCGCCAGACACCGCCAAGAAGGCGGTGTTGACCTGTGTGGCACGCGCAGCACCGATGCGGGCGGTGGGTTTGGGTTAGTGGTGACACGCAGGAGGGAGGGATAGAGAGAGAGAGGCTTCTGGGCAGGGCTCGTTCCTAGAGGTCGACGTGACGCCCCTGCTGATATCAGCTGGCGCGCCTAAATCTTGCTTTGGTGGGAGATCCTGCCACCGCTGCAGCTGGTCCATCGCCGCTGCCGCACCCAGAGAGAGAGAGAGAGAAACAAACAAAATATAGACACGGAAAGAAACAACACAAGTAAATAAAATCCCGAAACCAATACTTCGCGCTCCGAACTCACGTACCCCCCATCATTCCTATGTCGCTGACCATACCCGTCCATACGCTCGCCTCACCACCCAACTCCCTCGCTCGTCGCTCGCCCATGTCCCGCTCTGACGCGGCGTGTGTGTTCTACTCGGCCAGACGGGAGTCACGCGTCATCCTCCGGCGCGCGTGATCAAGACAACTCGCGGCCAACGGGGCATCTACCGGCCATGAAGGGGGGGGCATCAGCGGCTGTCTACCAGCTATCTATTGGCCAGCGGGGCTATCACCTGTCAAAAACTGACATTCGTCCTCGTTTGGCGGCGGCGTTTGCCCCGCGAGCCAGGCCGTGAGGTCAGCACTTGCATAAATTACATCAGATACGGTCGGAAATTGTTGCTTAGCGGGTCGCGTCAACGGCCCTGACGAGACGCTATGCCTCGCGAGCTGAGAACGTGTCGCTCCGTTCCGCGGGGCGGGGGGCTGAGAAAAAGTAGGGACGTCGAAACATGGGGACCGGGAGCTATGAAGTGGATCGCGTGTCGCGCCGATCCGTGGTGGGCCAGAACTGGCAAAGAGACACGCTATCCAAAAGTTCCCTACGTAGACACCACCGCCGTACCTGGCCAGGCTCATCCTGGTCCCGGGCATTGTGTATAGACCCTCCTGGCATTGGCGAAGAGCCACGATGGTGGTGGCGGTGCGTAGGAGACTTCACGGGTGCGCGTCCCAAGGAAGACGTCCCAGGCCCGTTTGGGCATCCCAAGATGGCCCTCGCTACCACGGCTGGGTTCGACTCGAACATGTAGTCGGAATGCGCCCTGGGACGAACCGGGGGGGGGGGGGGGGGGGCGATTCTAAGAAAGACCGAAACTTCCAAAGTTGCACTGGAAGTTTGGGCGGGCGGTTTGTCATACATCGGAGGGCGCACTTCGGACCCTGAAAATTAGGAGGAAGAGGAGAGGAGAGGGAGGAGGAGGCAGGGGAAGCAGAGGAGGAGGAGGAGGAGGAGGAGGAGGAGGAGGAGGAGGAAGAGGAGCAGTGAAGTCCTGTCTTGCAAAAGGCCCGTGTGGGGCAGGACAGGTACCAAAAGTAGAACCAGGCCAGTAGCACTCTGGATCACAGCGCGCTCGCCCAAGAGGCGAAAACTGGAGCTAATCCGCGCCATGCCTCACGATCTGTTGTTTGTTGCTTCCATTCTTCGTGGCCTCCATCCGCGCAAAACCTCCTAAACACATGCCCAAATTTCATCCACGGCCATTTAGAAGGTCTCTCTGGGCGTTGCCATATGTGGTTGGCTGCCTGCCACGACGAATCACGCCAACATGCCACTAGACTACACCATTCTGTAACAGGCACGCGCGCAACGTGCCCTGCCCACTTCCACTTCTTCATGAAATGCTCGCGGGCCCAATCCTTCACCCCTGCGTCGGAAGCGAGCCGTCTGGCTTGCCGGATTGCTCTGTGCACCAAAGCCACCCAATCTTCCCCTTCTCCTCTCCCACTGCAAACAATTCTCCTCAACATGGCATTTTGCATGGCTCGCAGTTTTCTCAATTCCTCCATTCAGTGTCCATGACTCAGCTCCCCACAGAATCGTTCCCGCCACAAGGAGGAGGAGGAGGAGGAGAAGGAGGAGGAGGAGGAGGAGGGGAAGGGGGAGATGAACAAGAGGGAAGGAAGGAGGAAGGATGCGCGCCGACATGTAAAAATCGGTGCAACGGGGTGAACCGACAACGGGCATGTGCCCGGCTGCGACTCGAGCTTCTGCTGCAACTCGCCATCCCCGTGAATGGGGCTTGCAAAACCACGCGCTCGCCCCATACCCTCCTCTCGTGGCCCCCCAAGGCCACGAAACAGCTCCAAACACTGACCACGGGGGGAGGCAAAGCTGCAGTGCCCCGGAGCTGCCGGCACCGCTCCTCCCAAGAACTCTCCCCTGCAGGGGCGCACTCTGACCAGAACTGCGAAGCGACCGCAGTCGTGGCGACGAGGGCCTCCCCCCTGGAGGCCTCAAAAGTGCAACACCGCGGGCAGAGTGCAGCACCGGTTTTGGTGCTTGTGGTTGCCAAGTCGAAGAATCCCACCAGCCCTCTGGCCGTGACTGGCTTGTGGAATTTCCTCTTCCGTCTTCCCTCTTCCCCTTCGGGGAAGGGCTTAATTATCACTGTTCCCTATTCAAATACAGCCTCCCCCCCAGGCGACCAGCAACAATGCAGACCCTATGCTCCCCACTACCCACCCCCCCTCTGCTCTGGGGTATACGATGGGGGTCGCCCATCCCGGATACGGGGTGCGTTCGCATAGCCTCTCGGGGCGTGTCTTCGATGTCCTATTATTCTCTGAGCAGCTACCTTTTTGAGGGGGAACTCCGGGACTGGCTGGGGGGTAACACAATATCCATGACAGGCCGCCGTGGGGAACCCATCGGCGTGTCATTGTTCAAACAAACCGCCCGCATGTCGCTGATGCGAGCATCAATGACACGCCGCCGGTGGGAGAGGAGCCGCCTACTAGGTCCGAGAGGCGCCGCCTGTGGCTGACTGGCAACGTCAGGGGGGGAGGGCGGGCTCAGGGGGGGGAATCATCGAGCTGGAATCGGAGATACATCGCCGGTAGATCGGCGTTAGGCTCCCGATGGCGAAACCACAAGTTCCTGAGCGGGGCGGGCTATCGGGCGCCCATCGGCGACGAGTGGCCGGTTGGGGGGTCGATGCATCTCCCCCTGAGTCTCTCCCCCCCGTCTAACGTTACCCTTGGCCTTCGTGTCACAACTCTGCTCTTCAGCGGCCTTTCGGGACGATCGTGGCACCCCAAGAACGCTCTCTGCGGGGCACGGCTGCTGGAACGCATGCTGAGGCTGGGAACTGACGGGAACCGACAGGCATGTCCAAGCACCACGAATCTTGCACCTCCGATCCCCACCCAAGGTTGCCCCTGAAGTCGCCTGCGAGGTCTCAGCGGCGCTGGATGAACCAAATCAGGACCCCATCCCTCTGAGGGGGGAACAATGTAGAAGAACCAAACACATGAGGGATTGGGGGTCCCTTCTGCGGATGTATCAAACCACGCCGCCCAAATTCATTGTCCCTCATACGATGACGGAAACCAATGGTAAATAGGCGATGCCTTCACTGTGATACCCGTCTGTCGGAAGAAGTGGATCGAAACATGAAGTAGGAAGGCGTTGGAAACATATTGGGTCTCCACCGACGGGAAAGCACGACTCTTGAAGCAGGAAGGCGCCTGAAATAAATTGGGTTCTGGGGATCCACAAGCACCGGCTTTCAAGGACCCGCGTGTAGGGTTGTGGATGCCACGACAGTGGACACCCTAACAGACCTACCATGGCATTTAACTGTGTTTTAACATGCCAGAAATGTGTTCAACATGTTTTGAACATGTTTGTTGCATGTTCGAAACATGTTGAACCCATGTTTTAGGCATCTGGAAATCATTTGGCAACATGCTTCCTCTCCATTGATCGTCCTCCACGAGTGCAAGGGTTTTTTTTGTTCCCGAAGGCCCCCCGCGAGTCCGGGAGCGTCACCGCGAGCTCGAGCTCGAGCGACTCCACCGAGGGCTCGGGCCGGGCCCGGGCGGCCGGGCGGCCCGGCGCTGGGCCCCCCTCTTCTCTACGAAGGCGACGGGAAGGAAAAAGAGGAGGCTGAGGATAACGAGGAGGAGGAGGGCAACGAGGAGGAAGAGGAGAACGAGGAGGCGAAGGAGGAGAACAATGAGGAAGGAGGAGAGCGAAGACGAGGATGAGGACGAGGAGGAAGAGGAGGATAACGAGGATGAGGAGGAGGTTGGGAGGGAGGATAACGAGGAGGAAGGGGAGGAGAAAAAGGAGACGAAGAAGGAGAGAGAGGAGGGGAGCGAGGCAAAGGGTGAAACGGGGGGTCGACGTTGCAAGTCCTTGGGGGATGTTGGTGCTTCCCCCATGGGCCTCCTGACGCGTCGGAGGCTACTTGGGACCCCCCTTGTTCCAGGGGGAGGAGGAGGAGGAGGAGGAGGAGGAGGAGGAGGAGGAGGAGGAGGAGGAGGACGAGGAGTAGGAGGAGGGTGGAGGAGGAGAAGGAGGAGGAGGGGGGGAGGAGGAGGAGGAGGAGGACGAGGAGGAAGAAGAGAAAGGAGAAAATCTGGGCCGCCTGCGGCGGCTGCTCCTCAGCATGTTCCCGCCGTTCCTCTTGCTGCTCCTCCTGTCCCTCCAGCCTCCCCATCCCATCCTGCGCCTGTTCCTGCTCGTTCACCTCCTGCTGCCGATGTTCCTCCTGGTCTGCACCTCCTGATGCCCCCCCTCGTGTTCTTCGAATACCTGCCCCCCCCTGCTCGTCCTCCTCCTCCTCCTCCTCCTCCTCCTCCTCCTCCTCCTCCCCATCCTCCTGCGAGCGCCGAAGCCCAGTCTGTGCCGGCGCCCGCGCGCGCCCCCACTGAGCTTCGGCAGCGTCGCGTCGAACCTGCGGCCGCCCTCCAAGTCCGCGCAGCCGCGCCGGCTCAGCCGGCCAGCGCGGCAGCCAGGGCCGCGCGCTAGGTCGGCGCACGCCGCGGTCTGGAGCTGGCGGGCCGTCGCGGCGCGCAAGGCCACCGCGAGCTCCGCGCCCCAACGGCGCGCAAGAGCGCCGGCCGCCGCGGCGGCCGCTGCAGGGTCGCCCCCAGCGAGCAGCTGCGCGCGGTCCCGCGCAGGCTGGCGCAGGTGCCGCAAGGCGGCCAGGCCGTGGCGGCAGCCCGTCTCGAGCGCGAGCGGCACCACCCGCCAGGGCGCGCGCCCGACGGGGAACCGATCGTGCGTGTCGGCCTCGGCGCCCCTGTTGACGGCGCCGTCCCGGACCGCGGCAGCTCGGAACCCCTCGGCGTCACCAAGCACGCCGTAGCGGACGGTGACGTCCATGAAGACTCGCGGACAGCCAACCCGCGAGAT